GTGGGATGAATGCCGGGGGGACTGCTGTGAGGCAAAGGCTTCCCCTCGCCTCATACAGCCGGAGGCGCAGGCACTCAGAAGCAGCAGCAGCCTCCCACCAAAAAAAAAAAAAAAATAATAAAAAAAAAAATAGTCGCCTGCCTGCGTTCGTGCTGCCTGTGTCTTAGGGATTCTTAGAAAGGAGTCAGCAGGGAATAGACTGTGGGCTGAATTAATTGTTCTGGCAGGCCAGAAATTTTTCAGCCCGAATCACCCCGGGCTGACTCAAAAATAGCTCCGTAAAAGCTTGCGTGGAGTGGGTCAGAGGTACACAGGGCTCCCAGACTGCTGCTGGCTCCTGGCACCAGCCCTCCAAAACAGCCCTGAGTCCCACACCAGGCCAGGCAGGGTCTCTTCTAACTGATACCACCCATGACACCCTGAAACATCCTGATAGCCAGGCCTTGCTTTTATCCATATGCTCTCTCCAAACCCTTGACAGAAGGAGAAAGAATGCACAGCATAGATCCAGTTGTACAGCTTTTCTGGCTGGCTATGCATGACTGGAGCAACCAAAAAAGCACCTTGACTTGAACCATAAGTCCAGGCTTGCCAAATATGAATTCCAAGGCTGCTATGACTCTATAAACTTTCCTATGCAACTGTAAGGCAAGGTGCAAAATATCTTCTAGACAGAGAAATGAAAAGAAACTTCCTGAGGTGAAGTTAGTACATTCTTTGCTTTCCTCCAGTGTTCATGATAGTGATTTAAAGCACTTCAGCTTCAGAGGGTTCCTGGTCCTGTCACAGATAAATGCAAGGCTTCAGTTTTCCTACAGGTAGCCATTATTGGCTAATAGGATGAACTAGGGAAACCAAAGCCCCTTCATTTGCGACAGCAGGTATTTTCCACATTCGTCCATCAGTCTAAACTGTGTCAGTAATTGAACTGGGGACAGACTTCACCATTTTGCCATTTTAGAGGCTCCCCAACCCTGTTTCAAAGGAAAGAAGTATTTGAAACACTGTGGCTGAATGAGCAAGTAAAATGCATCCTTTCCACAGACTATCAATGCAGATCAACCAAACTCACTCACACATTCTCTCAAAAATCCCCTGCAGGTCCAACCTCCCTGGAGGCAGAGAAGGGAGAGCAAATCACAGACCAATTAGCAGAGCTGTGCAAGATCTCCCATGAGCTGCTCACTGCAGCACCAATCTCTTCCACATGCCCTTTGCCAGGAAATATGTCATTCTGATGCTGATGTAGCCTCCTTAATTTTTTGTACTATTCTCATCAAAAGAAGCAACCCAGCTTGACAGTTAAAAATTTCTCAGGAGTTATTGGCTTTATTCCTCCAATACTCATTCCTTAACATGGAGGAAAAAGGAAAAATGAATTCCTCCTACTCTGTGTCAGCCACATGGCAGCACAAATTATTGCACCACCCATAAAACAGAGCTGACTTAAAACTAGATTACCTTTCCAACACAGTGACTTCTACATACACTCCAAACTACAGCATCCTGATATTAGGTTTGGTGTGAGCTTCAGTCCCTTCAGACACCAAATTCTTTCAGATTTATTGCAGTCTGGTAGTATTATGTTTTATGCTCATTTTTTGATTGTCTAAATAGAGCAGGTTATACAAGAAGCTGCAAAAGTGCTGCTAGCATTCCTTACTGACTAGCATTGGTTGAGGCCCAATGTTTTTAACAAATCACAGTAAGACAGAGATCCTCTTGTCCTCCCAAATTCTTAATAGTGTGCCATGTTCATTCCTTGTTTGGCCCCTTCACAACTGCATTCATTCCAAATACGGCTTTGGACAGAAAGTGTAATTTAACCCATAAATTTGATTCAGTAGCTTCTTCTAAGTCTTTTGAACATTCCTGAACACCTACTGCTACTTTAAAAAATGCTTCCTTCTTACTCTTTTTCTTCTTCTTTTTCTTCTTCTTCTTCTCTTCTTCTTTTTCTTTTCCTGTTCATTTTCCCTTCTCCTTTTTCCTTTTTCTTTTTCATTTTGTCCTTTTTAAATTTCTTTTTCATTTTTCTTTTCTGTTTCATTTTTCTTTGCCTTTGCCTTTTCTTTGACTTTGAATTTGAATTTGACTTCTTTCCTTTTCCTTTTTTCTTTTTCCTTATTTAATGAGGACTTGTTGATGTTCCAAAACACATTTTCTTCCATCAAGCCCAGCTCTAATTCCCCAGTCGGGTCTAACATCTGTATCCATCTCAGCATCTGCATTCTTTCACTGGTGCACTGGTGCACTAAAACAAATGCCCAAAATGTAGCTTAGTGATTCTGAATCAATTTGAAAAGTTATAGTAATGTCCTCCTTCTGGAAGCATCCTGTTTACTACCTCCTACAGTAATAATGTCTGAGTTATGGGTGTTTAGGGTAAATAATGACAACCACTGTCTTTTTTTAAATTAATCACAAGATGGTGTTTCCTGAAGATATGCCAGTTTGCAGCCCTGAAGCCTGCATGTGAATTAATACACGTGGCATTCATCTAAATTTAACAATTCACCACTGCCAAATTTTTCTGGGCTTGTTCTTCCACCATTTAGCTAATGCATCACCTGAGAGCTGCCAGCATTCCTCCAAAGGATTGATGGCTCTCAGATGCAGTAGCCACTGCAGGGACCACTGCCTTAGCAGAGAATTGAAATATCAGTGACCTGACAGGGCCATCGTCACAACCAGCACCTTCCACGCTCGCAGCCACATCGTGGTGCTGCTGCCCTTAATGCTCGCTGTCCCAGCAGTCAGTAAGGGTCGATGGGCCACCTACATACAGACCTGTCTGCAGGGTGGGACAGGCTATAGAAAACCATGAGATCCCATCTCAGCTGAAATCAGTCTCCTAAAATCAGTAGTGGGTCCAAGTTGTGTAGGTCATGTGACCTACCTGAGAGGCAAGTAAGGAAGGCAACCATTAGACAATGAGCATTTTCTGACCAGACCCTTCACTGGGGGAAAAGGCCTTGCATCTCTCCAGTCAGTAGGACCATGTGCCCTAAAGCAGCTGAGGAGCTGCTCCTCTGGCATTAGAAATGCCAGATAAGCCATTATGTCCACATCCCTATTAAACTTTTTCCTGCGTGATAAGTTACTGTAACTTTTTTGTGTGTGTTTTAAACAGCTCAGAGATGTGATATCTTCTTTCTTTCTTGAGAGAATAGCCTGTAATCAAATGTACAAAGGTTGACTTCTGTTTTTCAACACAAATTATTCATTTCTGTTTGGATTCTTTCTTCAAATCCTACCAATCCTTTGTTCATATATTCAGTATATTATTCTAGAATTTTTCTCTCCAGTACAAATATTTACCTATGTTTGGTCCCATCCTTCAAAATTACTTCCATATGTCCTTTGAGCTCACTAAAGCATTAAACACATACTTAATTCTGAGCATATTTCTGAGATAATTTACTCATATCTGCATTTAAAAATGTGCTTAACTGAATCCAGCCCACTTTGACCACTTTTTTTTTATTATTTATCCTTTATTCATCTCCCAAAGTGATAATCACACTGGAAAACAGTATTCATATCTGAACCATTTTGATTATTACACCTCAAGTCTGTTGCCTTCCTGTCTTTTGGGACTGAACCAATAGCATCTCCTGCCATTGGTCTTTATGCTTGGTTCCTCAAAAGCGTGGAAGTATGAGCATACCATTGCAGATTTTCATGGTGTGAGTGAAATCAAGTGATTTGTTTGTCTTTTGATAGTCATTCCAGTATTTCATGGGAAACAGGTGCTTAACAGAACATAGTCCCCAGAATGATTTGTTTCCCTGTTTTAGATTATTATTAGCACTGCATTTACTTTTGCTTTGTTCTGTTGCACTCATTGCTATCTGTGGCTGCTCAGAACTAATTAACAGCCATGCAATAAATCTGTTTGATAATTTTCTAGAAAATCTGGGATATGTCTCATTTCTGTAGCCTGCAATGGACACAATCAAATGTTTCTTGCTGCTTACCTTACCTACTGTTTCACAGTGATTCTTTCCTGAAGATTTAAGGATCCAGACTAATTTTACTGCTAAAATTTACATGAAAATAAAATCAAAATATTTCTGAATCATAACAATTACTGAGTAGCTCTCTCATCTTGCTTTCCACTTGATCCCAAACAGATTTGCCTTATTTGCCCCTATATTATGCTACCCTATAATATCTGACTCCTCTTAAGCCATGTGAGCAAGCCCAGTCTGTGGCTTTGCTGACCTCGCTTTATCCCAAGCCTACTCAGTGACCATTGCAACCAGGCAAAAGACAATTATTGTGTTGAATGAGATTCCAAACAGACACAGAGACTATTCCTGTTTGGGTGCCTCTGACTTTTCTTCTGGCACAGGTGTGGGTGCAGAAATAGGAAGACAGGAGAGGGGTTTTAATTGCGACTCTGTGATACAAACTTTACTGAGTATTTGCCTCTTTCAGCAAAGCATGTTCATTAAAACCAGCTTGTGAGTCCCAACAGTGAGACCAACATGCTCAGGATGATCATGTGCTTAGTGTTTCTCAGCAGCTGCTTACCCAGCTCATGGTCTAATTGAATCCTGTTCCTTTCTGCAGCTCCACTCTGACATGGACAGGGGAGATGGTTCGATCAAATACATCCTCTCAGGAGAGGGAGCTGGCATTGTGTTTACAATTGATGATACAACAGGGGATATTCATGCCATTCAGCGACTGGACCGGGAAGAAAGGTCACAGTACACCCTCAGAGCACAGGCTCTGGACAGGCGAACAGGAAGGCCAATGGAACCGGAGTCAGAGTTTATCATCAAAATACAAGACATCAATGACAATGAACCCAAGTTCCTGGATGGACCTTATGTAGCCTCTGTTCCAGAAATGTCACCTGTGGGTAAGGCAGACTTTGTGGAGTCTCTTTCCCTTATAAGCAAATTGGAGATGGTCACCAAAACACAAATTCCCTGACTCCTAGAACTCAGCTTTTGTTTGTGCAGGAGCTGTAGGACAGAAGAACTTACCCTGGGTTGCCTGGCTGCTGTAGAAGAGGGAGAGCAGGCTTTACAACATCACCAGCTGGGGCCCTCCCAAAGAAAACATGCCAAAGGAAGCCCAAGAGCTGAAAAAAGATCAAACGTGCTATGCTCAGATAACTCACAGTAAAATAATACCCCTTCTCCCCTGCCATCAGATGGCAGCAATAGAAATGACCAGTAGACAGCCATTACCGTCCAGAAAATAACATCATTTTAGCAAGCTGTTCTAGTTCATACTGAGAGCTCAAATACTGTCCAGGAGCCCTTGAAAACATGGGGATATGAAAACAATCCTTACCTCCTTCTAATCCATGTAAGCCTGCACTAAACAAAGTTCACTGAATCCTGAGATTCTAGTACTATTTGCCCTCCACTTTTAGAGAATGAGGTCATGTTGAAGACAGTCCTGTTATTACAAGGCAAACAGCAGCCTTCCTACCTACACAAATTAGGAGAAACCATTTCCATATAAGAAATCAAATAATCACACAAAACACTGTTTTTCTGGGTTTTTTCTTTTTCTTGAGTTGCTTTTTGGCTTTTGGTTATTGCTTTTTGGCTCTGTGACATCACTGCAGAGATAATAACATATAAATCTCATGTCCTGAAGTTACAGATATGCTTCAACTTCTCATTCTTCAATATTATGTTGACATAAAGGTAGAGAGAAGCATCAAATACAATAGCTACACTCAGAAATAATGTTTCTTAATGGTAATGGCTAGCTTGTATTCAGGTTTATTTTCTAGTCCTTATCTAGTAATACTTGATTTGTTTCTAACACAAAACATTATGTAGAAGGCTAGATACATTCATGAAGGCATTGTCTGACATTTTAAGGAGTCAAAACTCACATATATTTCAGTCGTGCTTCACCTTCTCCTTGTTCTTGATAAATTACATCACCTGCAAGCCATTACTAGCTTCAGAGGAAGCAGACCTTGAAAACCAATTGAAGAAAGAAAAATACATGCCTCTGTGTGGGTTCCAAAAAGCACTTCAGCAGTGTATAATCTCTGGGTCATGCAATGTAAACCGCAATCCCACAGCAAGATTATCTGAGAGATACCTCCCTTCATGCTCACTGTTTGCATACAGTTTCCATCTCTTAGTCAATATACAGCATCTAGGGGCCTGCGACAACAGTTCGTGATTTATGTCAGCATGGATATGAAACTTATTTGAGCTGCCTTTAAATAACATTTAAAATCAAGAAAAGGGGAAAAGAAGCAAGCAGTATATAACTACCATCTCTCTGCAAACCATAACAAAGTACTGTTAGATCAGCAATTCTGTAACTGTGGTCCATAGAGTACTTGCTCTTTTATATCTTCTTATAGACACATGATGAATTAATGCCAATTAATTTCTTTAGTGCTAATGAGGTACAAGTATGAGCAATAAGTACAAGGACTATGAGCATCAAATGAAGAAATTCAGTGTGGGATAGCTCCTGTTAGACATTTCAATTTACTTTGACCTGTGTACTTTTCACGCCAGCTCTTTTTCACACAAGGTCTTATCTTGATGGTTTTTTTGTCAGGCACCTCTGTTATCCAGGTGACAGCGACAGATGCTGATGACCCAACCTATGGGAACAGCGCAAGAGTAGTATACAGTATTCTCCAAGGACAGCCATATTTCTCTGTGGACTCTCGGACAGGTATGTTATTCCATCAGGGGATGAGTCAGTGTGAAAACCAAAAGAAAAAGTTGCAAGCAGAAAGCAAGGGCAGTGCATCATGACTGTGGACAGAGAAATAAATTTCTATGGCTTAGAGCCAAGATAGAGCAGCACTGTGTGAGGGCTAAAGTAAGGCTATGGTAGTGAGTTCCTGAAGAAGAACGTGCTTTTTGCAGTGATATATTCCTCTGAATGACCATATTCTGCAGCTGGGGATCTGAGTGGGTTTGGTACTGTAAATACTCTTGCTACCTTCTATCATTGCAAAATGTCTTCAACAGATCTAGTTGATAACAAGGCTTAGTGGAAAAAAAATCTATGAGCCAACCAGGACTGGAAAGTGCAAGCTAAAGGATGATGTTCTTAAGAGTAGTTTTACCTAAGGGTGTTCTTGTTAATAACCTTAAATTTATCTGTAGGACAATCTCTTTGTTTTGCTTGCTTTCTCTCTCTCTTTTCCGTATATGTCCAAGGTTTATATTCAAAAGAGGAATCTGACAGATTTTGACAGTTTCTAAAGGGCATCTGTAGTGCTAAGGTCAGAAACTCAGGAGATGATAGTTGCTGCTGAGCCCTAGGGAACAACATAGAAAAACACTGCATAATCTACTTCTGAAAGTTAGCAGTTTACAGAGTAGATGCTCTAGCCAAAGACAAACTTGTATGCGATATGTTATTTCCTCCGCTTTATTTATATTTACAATATAAATATACCAGTAATGTTGCTTTTGTAAGCAGGTTATCAACCACAGAGTGCAACTTAGACAGAAGATAGGCCCTTAAGTCCAAAATAATGTACATTATTGGTATTTAAGCCAGAAAATGTCTCTTTCTCCACTTACTAGTTTCCAATCACTTAGACCTGCATCTCTGGACAGGATCAGAGGTGGCTGAGCCTTTAGCTGCCTCAGTGGGCAACAGGAATCCCATTTAGGCTAATCACTGTTATGAGCCAGAAATCATTTCCCCATCACAAGCACAGGGCTCTAATCGGCCTGGCCTGTGCAAAATCACCTGAGGAATTTAGTAACCCACAAAATACAATTGCAGCTCTGACATTCTTCTAAAACAGAGCTAGAGTATAAACCATCAACAGCTTCTTTACATTGATAGATAGTAATTAAAACACCCAGTAGTGGACAATTCATTTCAGTATACTCCCCTTCTAGAAGCATTTGGGGTCCTTACCCCAAATGTTTACCTCCTAACACAACTTCTTGGTTCCAGAAGTATGCTCCTGTTTGTATTCTGGCCTCACAGGTGCTGAACAAATGTCTGTGTGAAAGCACAGCTTCAAAGGAAAGCTGAGAGCCTCCTCCTACCTTTTTCCAGAATACTTTTACAGCCTGACCACAAACATATTCCCTTAGAAGATAAAGTAGATTTAAATCCCTTCGGGCAGATAGGCAAAGGCCCCTGAGTCTCCCACTTCCCAAGAAATCATCTGGCTGTTATAGAAAAGAAAGGACAACACTTCTGCTCTTTACTACTTGTTTTAGGAGCACAAACCTCACTCAGTTTAGTGAAAGAAATGGTGCCAGCACATTTATTTTGGAAGATCCAAGGGTCTGAAACTTTCCTATAGCCTTTCCCAAAGCCCTAAGGAATGTTTTAATGTTCACCATCATTCTTAGCATTTCTTTGCTGACTGGTTGTGTGCAGCAGCATCAGATGTTCCCTGCTCTGCAGTGCTGCTCCTCTGGGTCCCTGATCTGGCTTGAGTCCTGGTGTCCTGCGCTGGCCCTTCTCTTGGGACCAAAGGCCCCAAAGACAGGCATGGCAGAGCCTGAGTTTGAGGCCCTGATGCCTTTTTTTAGGTCAAGCCTGTTCTGTATTAATGACAAGGCAAGAGTGGAAATTCCCTGCAAAGTGTTCATATATGGAGAAAATACTTCCCAAAATGCTAAGCATTTTCATATCCTATTTATATCCATGGGATTTGAGGAGCTACAGCACTTCACAGGAATCAATGAGCTTTGCAGGATGGGACTCTGAAGGACTCCATGCAGCAAGATTAAAATAGCGCACTGCAAGTTGTTCAGTACTGGTCACTATTTCTTCCCTTCTGCACACAGTGATAATTGCCAACGCAATATCTTTTTACTGCTTTTTTATTAAACCCATACATTGTCTTTCTGCTAAAAATAAAGACTAAATGCAGATCACTCAAGTTAATAGTGTCCTGATGTGCAAGTTCTGCGTGTTGAGCTGTGTGACTGGCATGGTGCCTGTGGTTGCCACATATTTTCCCCCACCCGGGAGGGCATCCCAAATGTAGCAAGCAAGGGCCTTTGGTGCCCTGGGGAGTGTCCCCTGGCTGCTCATCCCCGGGCTGCACCAGCGGCCACTGCATCTCCCCTGCTTGGGGACTGTGGGGCAGTCACGCCGGAGGTGCTGGAGGCGTGAGGAATGGGTGGAGCTGGGAGGACCGGAGGGCGGACAGCGCTGAGACGAGCAGCTATAGGGGGAGCGGCAGGAGCGCCCGGGAGCGCGGCAGTCCCGCGGCACTGGCAGCGCTGCCCGGGCCGGCTCCTCGCAGCCTTCATAAGAGAAGTGTTGCTGCCACCTCATGTCCTCTTGCAGTAGTGTTACCCCGAAGGAAAGGGACGCTCTGCGGTGTGGCAGGAGCAGGGTGACCCCCTCGGAGCGGGCACAGCCGGCCCGAGACAGCGCCGTCTCCCCACGTTCTGCTCTCAACCTGGGTCTAGCCCCAACCTGGGTCCCGACAGACACAAGCAAAGCCCGCGGGCTCATGTCAGGTGGCCTCCAGGACCGCGTGTCCAGGGACACTCTGGAAAACTCGTCTTGATGTGTCTTTGAACTGAGCGTATCACTTCCTGCTTTTATGGGGAGATAGTGAGCCCGAGCAGGGCCTTAATTTGACATAGCACAGTATTACCGAAAAGCTTTTCCTGGGAAGGCAACATTTAAATTTTGAACAGACAGCCTGCCCCAGAACTGATGCGTTTTAACTGGGCTTCTTTAAAATTCACACCTTCTGTTAACCTAGATTCCACTTGGGTGAGTTTTACTCTGCCAGAAAAGCTGGAACTGAATGCAGAGCCTGGTCTCATTCTTGACACAGGGACTGCGATGCAGGAGCAAGAGCCCTCCACATTCTTTGTGTACTCTTTAACTGCCGTTTTCTTTTGTTTCCCAAACCCCTTTCTACCTCAAATCTCAGGCTTAATTAGAACAGCTCTAATGAACATGGACCGAGAAGCAAAAGAATATTATGAAGTGATTATCCAGGCCAAGGATATGGGTGGACAGCTGGGAGGATTAGCTGGAACAACCACAGTCAACATCACCCTCTCTGATGTCAATGATAATCCACCCAGATTTCCACAGAGTGAGTATCCACTGTGCCAGAACGGGCAAAAACCGGTAGATGACTTTTATGTCTGCTGTTTGCTCTCATGACAGCCATTTTCAAACTCAGGATAGTGACAATTAGAGATGGGTGGAATTTCAGATCAATACAAAACTCTCCTTCAGAAAAAATGTCAAGGTGAAT